CAATGCATGGCCTTTTCACCCTGCTTCTGGCCACCTCTTCAGTTCCTCCAGCACTTCATTTCCTTTGAACTCAGTTATTTTTCCCAGAATGCCAGAAGTACAGCTCCAGAGCAAAAACCATTTTATTCAAAATAAGAGGTGATAAACAACTAAAGTATTATGTATTATATGAAGTAAATAGAACCAAAATATAAGGCAACATCATGCATACTGTCACCCACAATATTGGCATAAATATCTTTAGCACAAATGGGAAAGAAAAACATGCTAAACACAAGAAGAGATTGCTAACTTGCTCAGGTTGACAAGAAGCCCCATCAACTATGTTATTTTTTAAGAAGTTTTAACTCAGTAATGAAATAGATTTGAAATTTGCCTTTAAATGTTACATGTTTACTACTATTTCTTCTCCCATCTATGACTTCAATACCTGGGGCTGAAGGGAGCTGTTTTAAGGAAACTGTATTCTCAGTATACAACTCAACAATGCTCAATTTCCACTAAAGCAGCAAAAGGAAGTTGTATTTTTACATTCCTTCAGGTACTACAAAGACGTGTAATCACTCAATAAAGATTTGAGTGTAATTTCTCAGTATACAAGTTTGTGCAGAGAGACATTTTTATCAAAGATTCTACTTTCCTCTGTAGACTTTTTCTTATCCATAGACTGTGGCATTTGCAATAACACTACATAACCCTAAATGACACTGTTTGTTTTTCTAATATAACAACACAAATTGCCTCCTCTTCTTAATAATTAAGCCTGTTTATTATTTCCTGTTGGGTGGGACCTGGCAGTTGCCTCTGTGTATTTTTAAAATTTAAAAATTGTTGAATTTAAATTTTTCAAATATTTTTAGTCGTGAGCAGATGCATTATTTGACAACAGTAGAAAAACTACAAAATATTTAGGAAATTAAATCAATCACAAATATTTAAGAGATTTCAGAAGTGTGATGCTCTAAATCAGAATTGCTGGGTGCAAAATTATTTTATGATTCAAAATCTAGAATCAAATTTATTACAGTAAATTTATTATTATTTGAAGAAAAAAAAATCATAGCATAAGAAAATTCAATTGGCAAAGAGTAACTGGACTACCTGAATGGTTGCTCTATTAACTATCTGTGCAAACAGAACTTTCGTTTCATTCCTTTCCCAAGTATCAAAGTAGTGAACTAGTATGTCAAGAGGAAACACTAAAATGCCATAAACATATAAACTGTTTTTCCACGATATTGTTGGAATAAAGTTAGAATGTTTTTATTAAAACATATTCAAAGGAACTTAAACCAAAGGAATAAACAGTATTCAAATATATGGCAAATATATTCTGGTACATGTATAATGCTAAGTATATGTAAAAATACAGCAAAACACAGCAAAACAGCTCTAGTAACTATGCTGTATTTTAGCCACATGGGGTGTTACTACTACTTGAACTAAACTGAATATCATGTTAAAATGCTGTTACTTTTCCTACAGATCAGAAAACGACTGACATGTTCTCTACAAATAGTTCTATTTCATACAGAAGTTGTTCATCAGTCAAATTCTGAATTAACAAGCCACATATACTCATTTCATAAGCCTTAAGTGTCATGAATCATCAATATTAAACTGCAAACTTTTTCCTTTTTTTTTTTTTTAGGGGGGGGCGGGGGAGCGTGGTGGGAGGGGAGCACGGGAAGAACAGTGTTTCTGAGAAGCCAAGTAACAAGTAAACCCAAGATTTCAGAAGTCTAGTTGACATAAGGTTTCCTGTTATCATCAAGTTCACTTACACAAGTTCTGGGGTCTTACTGAAGACAGTCCCCTATTTTATGAACAACAGTGGCAGAAGAGGGCTCAGAAAATAGCAAGGGCTGTTAGCACTGCAATCACAAAAGTCAGCTAAGGGATTCTCAGCGTCCTTTTAGTTCCAAACAGCCACTGAAAACATAACATGACAGAAACAGTTTACTAACACCAGTAAGTGGAACCAAACAGGTCAAACTGAGTCCAGCACAGTCACAGCTATACCCTAGTTTTCAAATCTATAGATGCAAAGTGGTTACTAAGGCTTATTTTTTTGCTTTTCACAAAGAAATGGTAAAACTCTTGCAGTCTCAGTTTTCTACAGTAACCTATGACACAACAAAACCCACTTGGACTAAACTAATGAGACCAAAAATCACCTGCTTACTTCGTTTTTACTTCATTCTTATGTTAAAATCTATCCATCTTTAAACAGATAGAAATATGATCTTCAGCAGAAACAAAAAACTAAAGCCAAACCCAAGTAAAACAAACAAAGAAAACACAAACAAAGCCAAACACCACACAACTCAGACCTACTTTGCACTTGACCTGTTGATACCAGAACAATTTCCTTGGAGGACAAATGAAACAGAGGTATTTCAGTTTAGCATTTTAAATGAAGAAAAAACCCATATCTGTGTCACTGATTTTCAAAAGAACATAGAAGTTGAAAGGGGGAGATAATGCTAGTAGTAGCAATAGTAGCTTCCTCCCCACACATGGTCTGTCAGCTTCACCTAAATGCTAAACAAAGGATTTTACCTTGAGACTATAATAATTTGAAACATCTTCTAAGGCCTTACTTTTGAAACTGTCAACAGTGCTTCAGCAAAATACATATGTTTAAATGAAAGCACTGAAGAAGATTCAGTGAATTATTTCTGTGCTTGAAGTTAGATGCAAACTTACTGCCTGACTGACCTAAGGGCACAGTTAACGCAACTATAATTATGATCTTATCAATGTAGAACTTCTTAAAAGGTTCACAGCTTATTTAGAGGACATCAAATGACGACTTCCACTTCTAAAATACCTGTGTCAAAGCTAAAAGTGACCAAAACCAGGAACTGGTTTTTCATTCTGGCCTGAAACATTCTTTCCTCTTTGTTTCATAATAGCTGTGTTATTTTGTCTGAGAACCAAAGGAAAGCTATCAACTTGTTAGAAAAAAAGACTTTTTAGCTAACTTCAGACTTTTCATTAGTTGCTTACCTAAATGAGTAACAATTTTCTTTAAGACTGATAGTTTTGAATTCAGAGTTGGTAAACAGCACTGACAGGCGAAAATATCTTAGCAAGTTATTTTGAAGCGATCTATGAAAACACAGAATTAACCAGAATCTCTGAAGACCACAGAATTTCATCATCACTACATCAGAAAACCAACTGTAAGTTAGTAAAAAATATATCGTCTTTCACTGTATCTTTGCAACTTCAAAACCAAAATCTACTTTGTATACAAGGACCCTTGATAGTAAAGACTCACAGGCCTTCAAACTTAGTTCCTGTACTTCCAGGCTCAGCAATAAGCACAATGACATTAATTCCTAACTGAACATATTTCTGGAGTTTGCATGTATTCATATGACAGTGGCATGGGAAGTTTTTGGGAAAAGGAAACTCAAAAATCTATTATTCAGCAAATTTGCATCAGTGATATTTATTTGTAGGTATCCTACTGAATTCATGTAATGGCACTTCAATGAAAAAATGCAAATTTAAATTTATTATTAAAATTGATTTTTAAAGTCAAATACATAGTAACTGAGAAACAATTAGAACTGCTGTTTTTCAACAAATGAAGCAGGAAATTTTCAAATGTGCACATCAGTGAAATATCTCTGTCTGCTTTCCACCCTCCCACCCTCTTCCAAGATTCTCTTTTTCTCTCTCCCAGCAAACTTTTTTCCAGCAAACTTTTCTGATTTCAAAATAAACACTACAAAAACATTACCAAGGGGCTGCCAGAATGAAGTAAATGAAGGTATGAAGTTTATCTGCTACAACACTGTTTTTTAAAAACATACAACATGATGCAAAGTGATACAAAGCTGTTCTCTTATCTCTAGTCAGCATATTCATTTCTTGCATGAGAAAACGACTCCATTTTTTGATGACTATCACTGATTGATATTTCTTTCCTTACAAAGGGTGGAAAGAAATATTTCAGATTAAGTTATTTAACTAATCTTGCACAGATTTCAGCACTGAGATTCCTTGAAATCTCCACACACTGTGGCAGATCCTGACAATAATATTTCAGCATAACTGTTAGCTAAATTCTTGAGCCAGAGAATTTTGCAGAACAGAGCATCTGCTTCTGGATTGTTACAGGCTGCTTTATCATCTTTCATTTTCTCAGTTAAACTGTAGTCATTTCTGTAGATTACAAAACATTGCAGACAGGATGTCTTAGAATGACGTCTTGGTTAATGCTTTCCTAGAAGGGGCAGCTACATTCTTTTCTGAAAGAGTAAAAATGCTTTGACTGAAACACTATTTCAAAAGTTGGTACTACACAGTACATAGCACAGAGACTCCGGATGTCAATAAAATCAAAGTGCTAAATTTTCAACTCCGTTCTGAGAGCTTGACAGCGGTGGTGTAGCACCTCACAGAATCTAAGACGTGAGGTGTTAAGGCAAAGAATTCATCCACTTTTCTCTCTGAACAGAGTAAGTGAAAAGAGAACTTCTGAAGCACAAAACATGTCAAATATGATCAGCACTTTAAAACCGCTTTAAAAAAAAATAATAATCTGTATTTCCTTTAAAATGTTACTCTTAAGCAAAGATTTTGAGCATTTTAAAACAGGAAGTTGAAACAGCAGATGATCCCTTGTCTCTTAAGTCTTATTCCCCAAATGCTTACAGGCACTCACATTCACTTATTTGAATGAAATCACACAGTAGTACACTGCATTATGATAATAGCCCAACAACACATAGCATGTGTCACAGAAATAATACTCCGCTTTTTGTTCACATAAAATGTCAACAGCGCTTTTTTACCAAAGTTACCATCAAAGCAAAAAGCATCGATAGGCAAAAAAAATTATGATGATGAGAAGTTGGATATTCTTGGGTTTTAGGTCAAGTGTAACAGACCAATCAGTCTAATAATATTCGTCCTCATGATGAGAACTTTTCAGTTTCATCACTTATTACTAAATTACCTTTAAAACCCTCACTCTTTCCTACCTTTTAACGCAGCCTTCTTTAAATACTATCTGCGACACTCTTGGGCTCCACCCAAGACGAAGACACCCGAAGCCGCCAGTACCAAACTCACGTTTTGATGCTGTGCCCCGGCGGGCGCTCCCGGCTGTGTCTCAGATGGAGCAAGTACGTGTGTCACCTCCGAAACCAAAACTGACAAGAGCAGCACCTCCTTCACCCTACGAGCACCCGCCACGCCGTCAGCACAAGTCGGGCTTTCAGAATTTTTCACTTCACCGGACAGCCTGTCACAGACACCCCTTTCCTCGCCAGGAAGACCCCTGTAGCACCCCAGCAGCAAAGCCCTGCCCGGCATCCCGCCCGCTCCCCCGGCTCGCCGCAGCCGCCGCGCCGAGCGCGGGCGAAATCCCGCGGCAGCTCCTCCCGCGCTCCAGCGGGAAGCTCCGCGCCCCGGCCGAGGTGGCAGGCGCGGGGGCTGTTCGCGGGGACATGCTTCCCGCCGGCAAGCTCCGCTCCGTGGGGCTGCCGCGCTCCCCGCGCGGCGCTCGCCCGCCCAGCCCAGCCCGGGCTGCGCGGGGCAGAGGGAAGCGCAGCCAGCGGCAGGCGGGCGCCGAGGCGCGGACAGCGGAGAAGAAGCGGCGAGCGGCGGGTCAGGGGCCGCCCGGGGCTCACCGGCGGCAGGGCAGGGCTGGCGGCGCTCGTCCTCCAGGTCGTGGGTGGCCGGTGTGCCGCCGGCGGGTCCCTCAGCGCCGCGCCATGTAAGCGGCGTGCCGCCGCCCGCGCCCCGGCTCCTCTCGCGCGGACTTTCCCCCTTCCTCCCCTGCCGCCCGCCCGCCGGCCAGGGCAGCCCAGCGCACGGCCTGCCGCAGCCTCCGCCCCTGCCCCGGCCCGCCGCACTTCCTGGCTGGAAATTCCCGCTGACGCTCCGGCAGCGCGAAGGGCCGCGCGGGCGGCGGGGGCAGGAGCGGGAGCAGCAGCAGGGAGGCAGGAAGGAGCAGGAGCAGGAGCAGGAGCAAGCGGCCGTCGGGGCAGGGAGGAGGGGCGCTGGAGCCGCCCCGGGCGGCATCCCGGGGAGGCAGCGGGGAAGGAGCCGGGGCAGCGCCCGCAGCTCATCCGCTCGCCGGACACGAGATCCCTCTCCCGAGGACAGGCCTTCCCGCCTGGATGAAGCGGCGTAAACACGCGAGCCTTTTCATCCCAGGGGAGTTACCGTCGCCGGAAGAGCAGTCCTGTCGTTGTCCACGTTCCTTGGCCCACGGCGACAATTCGCGACTCTTCTGTAGAGACAGGCCCGACCCGGTGGCTGCCAATGGTTTTTTTAGTGGTTGACCCTTAAAAGGTTTTGGAAGGGAAGAGAGACTATGCATAGAGTGAATGTAACCCCACTCACCCACCATCTGGCTGGCTTTCCCAGGCACTTCGTAAAGGAGGTTTACAAATTGATTTCCACCTGGAGCCTGAAAATATCAGCAGAGAGTACAGGCCACACAGCACCATTTTTCTGTGGATTTGTACAGCTGCTGGCAAAGCAGGCTTCTAGTCACTTAACTTCTGTTAAAAAGTGCCAGCCATCAATAATACACTGCTTAATACCAAAATCCAAGTTTGTAGTACAGTAACCAAGTCTCCCAGAGACATCTAACCAAGGCTTAAGAAAGTCAGCTAGTGCCACGTTTAATTGACACAAAAATTTTGGAAAACATTTAAGTGCAAACATATTTATGCTGAATCTTAGATGTCTGGTTTGCTAAGAGTAAAGAGTCTCGCACCTACCATGGTTCACCTAATGTATGTTAGCCCAGAAAGTCAGCAGCACATCTGTGGGGATTTTGTTATGTTAAGGCCACATGACAGGGAACTTCATTAATTACTTGAATGAGACTAACAAAAATCATAATTGATAAGAAAAATTAAAAAAACATATAAAGGAATCAAGGTGCATGATTATTGCTGAAACAAGGAACTGTAATCTATGGCAAAAAAGGTATTCAAAAGAAATGGCGTCAAATCATAAGCCACCTGTTGACTGGAACAAGATGAAAGGGGTATTTTTACCAGAGAGCTCTTACAGCCCTATGTTTAACACTGTACAGATAATCCAGTCATGTCATGGAGGGAGACTATGCTACTGAACACTTTAGTCTATCTAGATGGTAGCCGATTTCAGTCCTGGAAAGGGGGTAGATTCAGATGTTACATTTAGTGCCACATGTCTGGATTGGAGCAGAGATACACTCGTTTAAAATTATGCTGAGACTGCAAAAGAGAGATTGGAAATGTAAAGGATTTTCTCTACTCTCTTGACAAGAGAACTTAAATCTCATACAGGTTATGTGTACATAGGTATGAATAAAGAGTCATCCTTTATTTGGTTTGCCACTCATGCTCTGTGATGCAGTTCTAAAAATGCATTCCCCCATTCACTTCCCAGTTCAAATTGGGAATTGAGAATGACTCAACATTTCTGAGTAAAACATGTTTTTCCTTATTTAATGGGGATACTTCCGGACACTCAAGACCCAATAGTAATCTTTTCTGTGGAAGCAAATACACTGAGTTAAGCGGAACAAGTGAGGAAAAAATTGGGTCTCAAAGCCTTTCAAGAAGGAAGTCTAGATGGATTTTAAGTACAAGAAGTTTCAAAATAGATTCATTTGAAAGGAAAGGTGCCATGTCACAGCTAATCAAAGGTGTGCTTACAGGGCAAAACTTGTATGAACAAGTACCAGGAAATCAGACAAGGTGGAAAAGTTCCAAAACTTAAGGAGACTTACCTGGTGGATTTATTTGAAAAGGACGAGTTATCAAGTACTCAGGCTCAGCTTTCCCTATGAAGTCCTAATCAGCTTCCACAAACATCTAGGTTTTAAAATAAATTCCTCTTCTCAATTACATTTAAAACGTAAATTTGTCTTTTCTAGAGCTTAATGCTGTAACAGAAGTGTTATTTCTACTGAAACCCACTATAGTGCCAGGCTGTAAGCCCACAGTTTTGTAAAATTATCTTCTCAGGACACTCTAGATAAATGAACTGCTCTAAAGCACAGGATTCCCACCTGAAGAGCCAAATAAGCAATTATTTCTCTAATCCGATTTCCAGCTATTAGGAAAATCAGGCAAATAATATAGACTCAGGTGTGAGGCTCTTGTAGAGAGCCTCTTTCCTAGTTAGCACTGGTTTCCACTGTTACCATCAAGATACTTCAGTACCTGGACAATATCAGCTCACTAATGAAGAGCAGGTGATTAGACCTGAACCCAAAGGAGCAAATGCTTCTGTCGTTGAGCTGAAGGGAATGTTGTGAAATGTTTCTAGCCATGTTTCTGGCACCTGGACAAGTGCATTGGAGGAAAGGCTTTCTAGCTCTATGTTTAACCAAGCTGTTTCACCTTAGCTTGTGCACATTCGTGTCTCCTCATATGTAAATGCAATCTAGAAGCTGCTTCTGTCCTCTGCTAGGTTTGGTCTGGGAATACAGATCCCTCTCCAAGGTCAGAAATCTTTGGCCTCAGCACTTTTTAATCCTGTAACTAATAAGAGATAAAAATATAAGACTAGCAGAGGTTTTTAAAGTAATCACTCTTTCCTTTAATTGATATGCCTGAATTGGAAAAATTCATTGATGTTTCCTACATTATTTTTTTCTGTTTTTGAGATATATGTTGGAATCAAGATAGGCTCTTTTCCTTCCCTTTGACTTAGTAGGTTTGATACTAAAACAGGAAAAGATAAGGAAAAGTCTAAAATAGTTACTGAGAGATACTTACTTTTAATGCTTTCAGCTGCCTATCTTCATTGACCTGTTCTGCCATATTATTCAAATCTCTTTCTGGTCAATCCATTATTTATTTTTCATCCAGATAATCCAGAAGTTCTAACCTAAAAACTGATTTGCCTTAGATGATGGCCAGTGATCACCTTACCACACTCCAGTCCTCATAGAGGTTTGTCAGTGTTTAACCAACATCTGCTATTGGCATTGCCATTATCTTCTGTAACTTGAATCCACCAGAAACATAATAAGACAACATATTTAACAAAAAAATTGTATTTAATTGGCAAAGTACACATGCAAAGTGTACCAGTTTGAACTGCAGCTGGAGTAGGGTCTAGAGTTCAATGATGCTGCTAAATCTCCATATTGCAGCATCCATGAGAAGTACTTTCTGTCATCTCTGTTGATTTTGGTAGATGATGACCTGGCCTCAATTCATCATATATTTCATCAGACTTAGATGGACGCAGTGACACCCTGCAAAGCTCAGAACAATGTGATGTCTTCTGTAGTTACACAGGTCACATCCCTAATGTACCTTTTACTTGCTTCATCCAGAGCCAAAAATCTGACATGGGATCTCATATTATCTCCAAAGTGGTTCAGACCTGTAACTATGCTGAAAGACTAAATTTCTAGCAGTTTGGGTAAAAGTGCCAGAGCTGAAGCAGGAGATATCAGTAGTGAATAGCTGTTGGAGGCATGAAGGGGAGTTAATTTAGTAGACTCAAATAAGAGAACCATGAGGCTGTAGACATGGCTGATGTGTATAATTAATAGAGAAAGGGGAGCTAAAAGTAAACAAGAAAAGGAAGATTAAAGAATTCTAAAAAAAAAAATACAGAAGTGATCATGAAACCTTAACTAGGGTACTACCAAGGATAAGAACTAATCTGAACAATCTGAACAGGAGTATGAGTGAACCTGTGTTTCTGTGTGATAGCTGACTATTGTACATGAAATAGATAGAAGTAAGTAACTTAACAGGTTATTTTGATCCCCTATTCGAAGTGGGGAGAAGATCAGAAGGGATGGAAGCGAGTTTATCATATTTTCTCTTCCAGAGTTCTATAGTTTTCTTGCATTAATAGCTGATAAAGTTATGAGTTTACTTCTTTCTCTGCTTCCCTGAAGTAGGCATTCCAGTTAATATTAGAAATAAATCTAGGCATAAACACCCATATTATGTGTTACAATAACAGCTTTAGATCTGACGTCATCTGCTTTGTTTTTGTGTGACTCCTCAACATTTACTCATAGCTATGACACAGTACAGGGT